GCAAAAAAATTTTGTGGTCGTATATTGGTATGTCGTTGTCGTCCGGTGTCGTCGTCGTCGTCCGAAGACACATTGGTTTTCGCACTCTAACTTAAGTTTAAGTGAATGGATCTTTTTGAAATTTGACCATAAGGTTAAATACCACAAAAGATAGGTTGGGATTGATTTTGGGGGTTATGGTACCAACAGTTAAGGAAAAAGGGGCCAAAAATAAGCATTTTCTAGTTTCCAGACAATAACTGTGGAACGGTGTATGGATCTCTCTGAAATTATACTACAAGTTTCCATACCACAAAGGGATGGTTAGGATTTGCTTTGGGGGGTTATGGCTCAAACCGTTTAGGAATTAGGGGCAAAAAAGGGGGAAAAACAAGGTTGTCCTGGTTAATGGACAAATACTTTAGTACAAAACATAATTTAAAGCAGTGTAAGGGAGATAAATCAAATACATCATTGAAATTATCTCCCTTACACTGCTTTTAAATTATGTATAAAGTAATGGTTATTGAACAATAAAGGTAATTTAATACAGTGTAAGGGAGGTAATCCAAATACAACGTTTTGGTTACTTCCCTTACACTGCTTTTAAATTATGTTTAAAGAAATGCATATTTATAAAGGAAGACCAGTAAAAATATCTGCAAATGTTGCATCTTTTTTTTTTTACAAAAAAATCCATATGAAAGATTTGACACTATATTTTTAATTCTATTATAAAATAGATTAAGTTAGCACTATGGTAAATTTAAATGGGTAATTATGGTTGCCAACTCCATTGGAAATTTGAATTGAGATTATGACCATATCTTGAGGGAAAGAATTTTTTGGGGGAAAAAAGGGGGGGGGGGATAAAAAGAAATTGTGGGAGGTCAATTTTTTCTCATTTCAGATTTCAGAAATTAAAAAGAATTATTCTTCAAATATTTTTTTTTTTTCAAATTTCAAATATTGAAAAATTTCAAGAAGTAATCTTTAATTGCACAGTATGGCGCATTAGATTTGTAAAATCTTTGATCACATTTATTTATTTGTTATGCCGAATCTAACAGTGTATTTAGATTTTTAATTTTGGGTCCAGTTTTCAAATTGGTCTACATTAAGGTCCAAAGGGTCCAAAATTAAACTTTGTTTGATTTTAGCAAAAATTGAATATATGAGGTTCTTTGATATGCTGAATCTAAACATGTATTTAGATTTTTGATTTTTGGCCCAGTTTTCAAGTTGGTCCAAATTGGGGTCCAAAATTAAACTTTGTTTGATTTCAACAAAAATTGAATATATGGGGTTCTTTGATATGCTGAATCTAACCATGTATTTAGATTTTTTATTTGTGGACCCCGTTATCAAATTGGTTCATATTAAGGTCAAAAGGGTCCAAAATTAAACTTTGTTTGATTTCATCTAAAATTGAATTATTGGGGTTCTTTGATATGCCAAATCTAACCGTGTATTTAGATTTTTAATTTTGGGTCCTGTTTTTTAAATTGGTCTACATTAAGGTCCAAAGGGTCCAAAATTAAACTAAGTTTGATTTTAACAAAAATTGAATTCTTGGGGTTCTTTGATATGCTGAATCTAAACATGTGTTTAGATTTTTGATTATGGGCCCAGTTTTCAAGTTGGTCCAAGATAGGGTCCAGTATTTAAACTTTGTTTGATTTCAACAAAAATTGAATATATGGGGTTCTTTGATATGCTGAATCTAAACATGTATTTAGATTTTTGATTATGGGCCCAGTTTTCAAGTTGGTCCAAATTGGGGTCCAAAATTAAACTTTGTTTGATTTCAACAAAAATTGAATATATGAGGTTCTTTGATATGCTGAATCTAACCATGTATTTAGATTTTTTATTTGTGGGCCCCGCTATCAAATTGGTTCACATTGAGGTCAAAAGGGTCCAAAATTAAACTTAGTTTGATTTCATCAAAAATTGAATTATTGGGGTTCTTTGATATGCCAAATCTAACCGTGTTTTTAGATTTTAAATTTGGGTCCCGTTTTTTAAATTGGTCTTCATTGAGGTCCAAAGGGTCCAAAATTAAACTTAGTTTGATTTTAACAAAAATTGAATTCTTGCGGTTCTTTGATATGCTGAATCTAAACATGTGTTTAGATTTTTGATTATGGGCCCAGTTTTCAAGTTGGTCCAAGTTGGGGTCCAAAATTAAACTTTTTTTGATTTCAACAAAAATTGAATATATGGGGTTCTTTGATATGCTGAATCTAACCATGAATTTAGATTTTTTATTTGTGGGCCCCGCTATCAAATTGGTTCATATTGAGGTCAAAAGGGTCCAAAATTAAACTTTGTTTGATTTCATCAAAAATTGAATTATTGGGGTTCTTTGATATTCCAAATCTAACCGTGTATTTAGATTTTTAATTTTAAGTCCCGTTTTTTAAATTGGTCTACATTAAGGTCCAAAGGGTCCAAAATTAAACTTAGTTTGATTTTAGCAAAAATTGAATTCTTGGGGTTCTTTACTGCTGAATCTAAACATGTGTTTAGATTTTTGATTATGGGCCCAGTTTTCAAGTTTGTCCAAGTTGGGGTCCAAAATTAAACTTTGTTTGATTTTAACAAAAATTGAATATATGGGGTTCTTTGATATGCTGAATCTAACCATGTATTTTGATTTTGGACATTGGACCATAATAGGTAAATTAAAAAAATTCAAGTTCTTAGACCACATTCTTTCTGTGTCAGAAACCTATGCTGTGTCAAATATTTAATAACAATCCAAATTCAGAGCTGTATCAAGCTTGAATGTTGTGTCCATACTTGCCCCAACTGTTCAGGGTTCGACCTCTGCGGTCGTATCAAGCTGCGCCCCAGCGAAGCATTTTATTTATGTTGGTCGGGGTTAAACTAGTTTGTTGGTGCCAAAACCTCCCCTAACCTGGGACAGTGGTGTAACAGTATAACATAAGAACAAACTATAAAAATCAGTCGAAAAGTGCTTAACTCATCAGATTGATACAAAGCAGAAAACCATGTAACAAAAACACAGATCGGACGTGGCAGGTTTTTTTCCTTTTTATTAAGTTTTATTTAAACATCAAAACCAATTTGTATTTTCCACATGGATTTCGATAAATTTACATAGTGATAGTATATGCCACATCGTCACAAATATGTACAAAGATGAAATAGTTCTTAGTATACAAAATTAGTACATTAAAAACAAACGCAATTAAAGCTGGTACTGTCAACTGATGCTCCACGAACGTTACATTTATTGACAATCTAATTAAAATTAAATCATCGCACTTGCTCCTCGTTGTTTATATGTCACGCCACGCGCGACATATAAACAACAAGGAGCAAGTGCGGAGATTTAATTTTAATTAGATTGATTTATTGAGAAAATATTTACATTTCAAGTGTTATTCTTGACCTTTGAAATTTTTACCAGAATATCAATTGGATTCTTCCTCTTTTCTATATATTTCATCTATATAAGTTTCAGTACAAACCAAAAAAAAAGGAAAATCAAGTTACAATTCCGGAACAAAATTTAAACAAATCTTCATTCTTAAGCAACAGTGACCTTGACCTTTAACATATTGACCCCAAAACCAATAGGTTTCTTCTCCTTCATTATATATCTTTAATCTATGAAGGTCTCGATCCATTCAAGCAAAGTAAACTCAAGTTATCATTCGATAAACATTTTTTCAACAAGCAAAACAAGTATTTTTTATCAACAATTACCTTCTCCTTTGACCTATTGGCCCAAAATCATGCAATAGACTTCTCCACAGGCACTTGTCTTTGAACAAAAAATCCAATATTCCTTAATATAATTTTTGTTTCAGAGACAAGTGCCTGTGGGCTTCTTCCATCTTCCATCTTCGCAAATTTCATTCCAATCGGGCAAGAAGTTCTCCAGTTGTCATCCGAATAGTAGTCATTTTGGACACACGGACGAAAACACAAACGGATTTATATAACTATATGCTCCATGATTGTTTTGGGGGTTGCAGATATTTTAAAACTCTGTCTTTACATACATGTAACCAGGGATTTTTAAGGTGATAACATTTCTCGTATATGTGTCGGTCCGGAATTACCTAAGTCGTTTGAAAAATTTTGCACTTACATCCTTTGCCTTTTTGAAATCGTTATTGTACGGGTACTATCAGTCAACTTAAATGTGAAATTTTTTAAACAAGTCTGTCTGTAAGCATGAGTTACAATTTTGATCATGGTACTTTTGAAATCTTTGAAAATGATTTTCAATCTAAAATTACCACAGTGAGATTGTATACCAGTTGGAAATCAAATTTGGGACCCTTGTATACATATGCAGTAAGGAACCAACCATTCATCTAATGTAGAGTGGGCATGCTTTTTATGCCCCGCCAGAGGCAACGGGGGCATTAAGTGTTACCCTTGACCGTCCGTTCGTCCCATTTTCGTTTCCGTACTCTAACATTAGTTTGCCTCATGCAAATTTTATGAAACTCATACAAAATGCTAAGAACCACAACACTCAGACAAGAGTTGAATTTAGATTGTGAGTCATTTACCGTTCTAGAGTTATGTCCCTTTTAACTTGGAAAATTGCCAAGCTTGAGCGGGGGCATTCGTGTCCTCAGATACAATCTGCTTTTATTTCTAGATGAATTCATTGATTTCAAGATTCTTCATTGAGTGATTGATTTTTGGTTGCTCAACGTTTAGAGGCAAATTTTTCTTGAGAAAATAAATTGTTTTAAGAGCGAAGTGAAAAAAATAGTTTAGTTCTATTGAAATTTAATATTAAAAATCCAAATAAGACATTATTGTTCTTGATTTAAAGTTGAAACGCCAGTGAACTATCAAGAACACTGGGCTATATGTCTAATAAACTATATAGATATAAGAAGATGTGGTATGAGTGCCAATGAGACAACTCTCCATCCAAGTCACAATTTGTAAAGGTAAACCATTATAGGTCAAAGACAAGTAATAGAGGGCGGTTCCACTTTACTTTATTCTTGTTTTTGTTTCAGTGGTATCCAGAAATCCTTCACCACTGTCCAGATACACCTATTATTCTTATTGGCACAAAGTTGGACCTGCGCGATGACAAAGAAATGTTGGAGTCGCTCAAAGCCAAGCATCTGTCGCCGATAACTGCACCACAAGGCATGGCACTGGCCAAGGATATTAAAGCAGTAAAGTATATGGAATGCTCTGCGATGACGATGAAAGGCCTGAAACCTATATTCGACGAGTCTATCCGAGCTGCTTTAAACCCACCACCTGCTCGTCTGAGAAAGAAAAAGAATTGCAGACTTATATGACATTTTTGTGTTTTATTCCTTATTGTTTTCATATTTAAGTGGTGATATCTTTTAGAATATTTTCCTTATCAACTGTTATTTTTCATCGAAAATATTTAATGTAATATTATTACCTTAAATGAGAGGACAAGATCTTTTCTTTTAAGTTGTTTTAGGCAGTTTTAAACTTTTGTTAACTGTTATTTCGAAAATAGACGTGCTGCTTACTGTTATTGACTAATTTACTGTTTTCAGCAAAATTAAAAAAAAATGTTAACCTGTTAATGGACCCCACCTTCCCCCTTAAATAATATTAAATATAAACGTTAAATAATTTGATAATTGATAACTGATTAAATAATACAGCTTTGTTTATCTTTTTGACTTGTGAAAATCGGGTTTTTGTTTCAGAAATTCCCTGATTTTCAAGTTATAACGAAAATAATGTGCGATTTGACAATTGACGAAACAGAAAAATTAAAAATACCGTTTTAATTGAGCAATGGTGGATCCAGTATTTGAAACATATGTGGATATAAACACAAGTATAAGTGACGAGAGTGTATTCAGTTTATAACATATATTTTTTTTCCATTCTCGTCTCGTACCTGTGGGTATGAACCACAGAGAGATACAAAATATGCCAATGAATTCGTGAGTAAAATGTTACTTTGCCATGTGCATTGAGGACAAATAACACAAGCTAAACTTACAATTCTCAGATTTTCTCTTTGGAATTAAAATTCAAGATGTCTTTGAGCTGAACATTTGAACATTCGTACAAATGAAACTGGATCATTATTTAATTTTGAGGATACTTGCTGGAACCACTACAATTTGAGAGGTTTTTTTTTAAAGATACGTACAGATCAGCTATGCATGTTTCTGAAATCGAGAGTCCCGGGAGTTGATCGGCTACATCTTCACTCTACCCGACTGTGAAAACCATTCTCAGTCAGGTAGCTTGAGATGGAGTATAATTATGAGGAGTTTACTTCCGCTTTTTAAACTATTTTTTTTTCTACTGGGGAGTAAAATGTGCTAAACTCCAGAATTAAAAAATAAATTATCAGAAAATTTCTGATATTATACTTTCTTTTTATCATCTTTCAGATCTTGAAAACTTCCATCTCGTATGTTGAAATAATGATTATGGTGTCACTAAATGTTGCATTAAAGGCATTAGTGAAATTTACAAATTGAGATGTTTATTAATTTAATTTATTTCACTATATATCACTTATAAAAAAAATTTTTGTATTATATATTATCTTTAACCATTATGTATTTATATTATCATATGGACATTAATAACTGTGTGTAAGCTTGTACCTCTTCAGTCAAATTGAAGAAAAAAAATCGTTTTTTCTCTAATTTTTTTTTGCACTTTTTGTTTTGATTATACATTTATATATATTATAATAATGACTAAAGGTTGTTCTGTTCTGAGTGTGGTTGATGACAATCCAGATTTTTTTTAAAAATTTTATATCAATAAAATCCTTGACTTTTGACCTTGTTTTTCTTTTTGATGATGGTATTGCGAGTTTTCTGTCAACTTATGGATTTTGAATACCCCCATGGTATCTTTTTCTTCTCTTAGGGAGCTACCATTTGATTTTTATCGGGGGGGGGGGGGGGAGGGGCTAGGATGAAATTTGAAAAAAATAGGCAGGACAGGAGTTTTGAGTAAAAAAAAAGGCAGGATGAGAAACTTGCCAAAAAAAAAGTCAGGATGACAATTTAGGTAAAAAAAAGTCAGGATAAACTTAAAAAAAAAAAGCAGGACCGAATAGAGTGAAAAATAAAAATGCAGGACAGAGATTACAACTAAAAAAAAAATGCAGGACAAAATTTTTCATCCTAGCATGTGCATGGAAATCGGTATTATACGATTGTCAAACCTGAATATAAAGTTCTCCTTGGGACTAGGAAAACACGACCTTATAAGAAAGGTGCCATTTAAATTGAGGTTCGGGCAACATGCATAAGTATTAATACAGCGAGACAACAAAATGATGACCTGACAAGTCATGTTTTGCTTTAAATGGTTGATCTTTATATCCAAGGTTTGACTGTGACTTCATGTAGAAGGCAAAGAATAAATATAAGGGAAGAAATGCTATTAATTCTGCCACTTATACAGAGTTTGGGGGTTATTTGAGTATCCCCGATCCTGAAGTTTCACTCGAAAACCAAGTTCTCATGTCATTTATGTATATGATTAAGAGTGCATATAACTTCATATACATCCAGTAGAAAATAACAGCTTCCCACAAAAAGTAAGTCACTCTGAACTATATTTTACGTTTCATTGAATTATCATGATTGTTTACTTTGAAGCCGCGGTTCACATGTGACTGTCATATGCCTTGGTGTGATAAAATGCATTTTTTGGAGAATATATAAAGCAGCCTTCCAAATAAATGAGTCATTCTGACATATTTTCACCGACTTAGAGTGGTTTTTTTTTTACCTCAAACTAGGCAACGTTTGGAGTGGGACATGTAAAAGGTCTATGCATTCATCATGTGTGGCTCAATAAGTATACCCCCTTAAATCAGCCTCAGAGCTAGGGTTGTTTAAAGTTTTATATGTAAGTGTTTAATAAAAAAAAAAGAATGTCACTTCATTAATTAATATCAGGTTTAAATTTTGAGATCATCTTTCAGTTAGGTATTTGTGACAAACATTCATATAACTTGGAGCAAGCATGCATGCACCATACAAGACATAACAGCCTTTCTTAAAATTTAGGTATAATTATGAGCTTATTCGATAGTGAGTACTTTAACTATCCAGGTTCATTCATTACTCACTAAGAGACTTACATTTTGGTCGTTTACACATTCAAAGAAAAGTTTCGGTCCCATACTTGTTTTAATTATTACTAAATGTACTCGGCCAATTTAGTGTTGTGATGTGCTTTTAATTGTATGTTTTTCTGTAATAAAATAGATTGATTGGAATAGCAAAAACTTTTAATGTCAACTTTGCATTACTCATATCTGTGTACTAGTTGTCCTTGGGTACCTTAGTGTTTATAAGCAGTAGAACTTGTAGATTAATGACAGCTTAACACATCCAGCGGCAATTATTACACATATTTTAAAACAGACAATAGCATGTGAAAGAAATTTAAATATACCCTGCTTTGTACTATGCCAGTATGCTAACTCAGATTTTTAGTGTTCTCGCTCATAAGGTAACAGTCCCCTGGAAGACATGTCTCCCTACCAGACATTATTTTGACTCTGAAACAAACAGCATTTGCTCCAACTCCTAAATTCTGCTTACCTGTCAGAGGAGTCGAACACAAATTTCAAAAGAGTTTTGTTTGTCCTAGCCAGGAAAGGAACCCAAGACCTCTTGCACTTGAGGTAAGCACATTTCCACAAGACCACAAAGACGGTTGCAGAGACCTCCTGCACTTGAAATAAGCACACAGCCACGAGACCACCAAGACGGTTGCAGAGACCACCTGCACTTGAGGTAAGCACCCAACCACGAGACCACCAAGACCGTTGCCGAGACCTCCTGCACTTGAGGTAAACATAAAACATCGGGACCACCAAGACCGTTGCCGAGACCTCCTGCACTTGAGGTAAACATAAAACATCGGGACCACCAAGACCGTTACACAGACCATCTGCACTTGAGGTAAACACACAACCAGGAAACCACCAAGACGGTTGCACAGACCACCTGCACTTGAGGTAAGCCCACAACCACGAGACCACCAAGACGGTTGCAGAGACCTCCTGCACTTGAAGTAAGCACTCTTTCACAAGACCACCAAGACCTCCTGCACTTGAGGTAAGCACACAACCACGAGACCACCAAGAGTTTATTCAACATATTGAAAAATTGAGTATTAGCAAACTGAAAGTAGCTGTTAAAGGATTCCATATTGCTCACTAAGTACAACCCATGACTGTTGACCAAGTAAGAAAACATTCTGTTTATAAGTAGTTGAGAAACCCTTGATGAAAATATTTGTTAATCAAACAGAATGATTTACAAGGTGAATGCAATAAGAGCCACCACTCTTGAAGGTGGGTATTTCACAAAATGAACTATTGATGAACTTTTGTGATGTTTCTATTGCTTTAATGTTAGTGGTTTTGTGCCACTTACTGATCTGTTGAGTTAATCCAATTGCAAATGATTTTTAGTTTGTTTGTATGTTGTGCTGTTGCACACTCTAAACATGTTAACCTCTCTATATTTATGTGCCTGTCGCAAGTGAGGAGCCTGTAGAATAGTGAGTTTTGGCCTATGTCTTTCAGATTTATTTTTCCTAATTTGTTTTGTTATAAATTGGTCAGTCAGTTTTCTGGTTTGAATTGTTTCACATTTTTCATGTCAGGGTCTTTTATAGCTGACTATACGGTATGGGTTTTTCTCATTGTTGACGGCGGAACAGTGGCCTATCATTGCTTACTACCACTTCATTGTAACTCTGGTGGATAGTTGTCTCATTGGCAATCATACCACATCTCCTCATTGTTATATTATTTGAAGTATGTGTCTTGAACAATGAGGTTACTATGTTGAAGAATAATGATTAAACTCTTCATGATTAACAATAAGTGATGACAAGAGCTCTTGGTATCCCTTGTACCAGTAAAACGTTTTATCACTGGATTGAGGAGATATTTAATTTTACTGTAATCTGTGAGACCTCAGGAACATGGAAATAAAAAAAAATCATATTGTAAAATTTACTGAATTAACAAATATTGACAATTTCACACACTGAATTGGAACATTATTGATGTAACACAATGCTTAAAGTCGTAATATTAGTTCTTTTCTTCAAATATTTCCTTCCTTTTTCTACCTGCAAAAGACAAACACTTTTTATCATTACACTGAATTTGAATAAACATACTCCACAAGTTTTTAATTGATTGAAATATGTCGATCCAACCCTGTGAACCACAGTATTGCAGTGAGAGCTTTTAATGAAATGTCATTTGTATACTGCTTGTAATATTTGCAAGATGCAGTGAAATATTTATATCTTCACATAAGTTGTTTACGCAGAATTCAAAGGGACTATATCAGGGACTATATCAACAAAGTTGTAGGATATACACATAACAAGTGTATATCATAATGTTTAAATACAATTTAAAATTCGTAAAGATATGGCAAAGTGCATGTTCATGATGTTTTCTACATAAAACCTTAAATTAATTTGATAAAAAATATAGGTGCAAAATAGTATAATGTTAGAAAGATTCTGTCGAAGTCTCTACCAATCACTTGTAGCTACAAAAGAGGTTAAGCTTCTCCTTCATTCATTATTTTGTACATAAATTAGGCCATCAGTTTTCTCGTATGAATTGTTTTACATTTGTCATTTAGGGGCCTTTTATAGCTGACTATGCGGTATTGGTTTTTCTCATTGTTGAAGGCCGTATGGTGACCTATAATTGTTAACTTCTATGTCATTTGGGGGATAGCTGTCTCATTGGCAATCATACCACATCTTCTTATTTTATATGATCTATACTTTTCCTAGATATAGTATATTTTCTTAATAATCATCACGTTTTGTTTCATTCTTCATTTATTTACAATCAATAATAATGTCAAATTTTCCTCCCATTCTATTTTACTATAAAAGTGATGACATGAACAAAAGGGATCATTCCTGACAAGGCCTATCAGAAAAATACAATTATTTGCAGATAACAGATTGCATACATATCCTTACAAAGTCCAAAGAAATTACCATATTTTCAAGTGAAAATTGAATTTCTTGTCTGGAGAATTTACTAGAAAAACATGAGATAGTTCTGTTATAACATTAAGTTTAGATTCTCATGTCCTCCTTTACCTCATCTTTTCATTAGAATAGTATTTTACATAAAAATTTGAAAATGTTTCTAATTTTTAAAATTTTAAAAATCAACAATAAAGATGAATGAAATTCTTCATGTCTCAAAATATTTCAGATGAAGGTAGATCAGGAACTTTAATTTGATTTGACCTTTCTTACCTACATTTGAAAGTAATATCATTCTATTACATCTTCTTTATCACATATATACTGAACAATATCTCTTGGTCTCATTAATCTGTCAGCATCAGAATCGGGTATTTCAAAAGCTAAACAAAACAAAGAGTCAACAAAATGTAAGTTGTAATTTCAAATAGAGCATTTCAAGTATAAAATTATCAGTATAATCATTCTTCTATCCCACATCAGTCAAACTATTTGCTCTGGTGTAAGGGAGACAACAAGTGCACACAAAACATATTCAACCCTTCTACATTCTTAATGTGCCTGTCCCAAACCAGATGGTGGTATACCAGTGTTTTCTTTGTCATAAGTATTTTTCATTTACTTTTTTAGTATACCGGTAAATTAGGCTGCTGGTCTTTTGACTTGTTCAGTTTGTCGTTCTAGGCTTTTAGAGCTATTTATTATACAATATGGGTTTTACTGATTTTATTTTGGCATCACAGTGACCTGTAATTGTTCACACAATTGACCTTTTATCTTTGATGGATAGTTATCTCATCAACAACCATACCACATCATTAATATCTTTATACACCACAATTAAAACTAAGCTCCAAGTGACAATCTGTATTTAAGGAAATTAAACTGGTGTATATAACATCATTTCTGTGTACTTACAAAACTCATCTTCCATGGCCATAATTATTTCCACTTGATCTAAGCTGTCTAAACCCATATCATTCATAAAATGAGAATCCTCAGTAAGCTGAAAGACATGTTCAAAAATCAGTTTGTGTAGATCCTTTGCACTATTTATTTCAAAAAAAAAATGAAACCACAAAATTTCATGTAATGTACCTCTATCATGGGAAGAGAGGAAATCAAGAGTAGTAATTTTGAAGTTTTCCTGTAATTTTATGTTACAGAGGAAAACATTTGACATCACATTGTGACAATTTAATCAAAGTGAGCACATTAGAGTAAAGATTGCATTCATTTTGCATTGGAAAAATAAAAATTAAACATTGCAATGTATTATGCATTGGAAGGCATTACTTTATGATTACTATGAATTGGAGATATAATTGTAGTTGTTTCAACTTCATCTATGTATAAAGGAAGATAACTCCAATTTTAAATATAACTTTAACAATGACATCATTAATTACAGATAATTGCACAATTTATGTTATTTTTCTTGATAAGTATGGTTATACCAAACACATAATTTTGTAACTTGATTATCTGAATATATATTCCAATGATAAATTTCTTGAAATTTGTATAGGTAGGATGTATGGAATGTTAGTTTAAACAATATTTTATTTTTCAAAAAAGCACCAGCAATTACAATTATACAATAGAAAATTTATATTCCAAATACAAGGATTCAGAAACAAGAAGAACTTATATAAATCTGTCTCCCTTAATGTATAGAATGTTGTGCTAATGCACTATGATACAATCTGGAAAATTGAAAACTACCAAGCCATCGGATCCACATAAGGGTTTCATGAATGCAATCTTTACCCCTAAAACTATTGTCTTAAAGGTCATTGCATTTGTCAATTGTTTTGGATAAGAACAGCAAGACATGTTAGTGAACTCGGAAAATTAAAATCTAAAATTAATAAAAATTGAAAGGGAGCTAACGTGAATACATATAAACAATTTACTTAAGTTTAATGAAAATTGGTTAAAGCGTTTTTGAGTTATTGTACAAAAACTGGAAAATCTCCCCTTTTTTTTATAAATAAAATCTAACCACTCGAAAACGTAAAGTCATAAATTTATAAAAATTGAACGGGATCTTAAATCAATAGATATAAACAATTCACCAAAGTTTCATGAAAATTGGTTAAAGCGTATTTGAGTAATTGTCCGACATGTTGACACCAGACGGACAGTCAAAAAGGATGGAGAACAGTATAAACAGGCGTATAAAAATTAAGTTGATTGAAAGGCTCCAAAAAAATGCAGTGTGTTTTGTTTGAAGTTTCCATAAATTGTAATAAGGAGTTTCAGAGGAGTTGCAGATAGAAAATGGGCAACCCAAAATATAGCAATGGCAAAATCCATGCTCTGGTACGAAAAATCAAAAAAAATATTCTGGTAAAAAATAAATTAATAGGTGCACAATAACATTGTATGGAAGGAAATGTGAGAAAGTTCTGTGAAGCAATTTAGGAGCAGTCGTGGATACAAAAGTGGGACAGTAGAAAGGATGAAAGGACGGACGGACAGATTCCTTCATACTGCCAGCTTAAAAAAATAAGGGGGGTTGGGGGGGAATACCAATAACTCCAATTTTTAAATATTACTTTCCCCTTTTAAATATGCTGCATAACCATGATAATGTAAGAAATGTGTGGGTTTTAAAAAGTCTCACCAACTTCTATGACATTTTGAGATCTGAGTCACATTACATACCCGAGTAGCAAGGGGACTGTGTCAAGTGTAATTCTGGAATGTTCTGTCTTGTGTGATTGGTCGATTGCAGACATCAGACATGTCAGGACGATACATTTGACAAGATGTTTGTAATAAACTGCTTTGCTGAGCGCAGCTGGATACGCCTGCAGAGGTCCAACCCTGGTCAGTTGGGGCAAAAATGGTCACAATATTCAAGCTTGACACAGGTCTGAATTTGGATTGTAATTAAATATTTGACATATTATAGGTTTCTGAATAAATGTAGTCAAAGAACTTGAAATTGGTTATATGATTTGAATTTATATTCAATTAAAGATTTCTTTCTGTTGTGCAATACACTATGCTGTTGCACAAAAAATAGTAAATCTGTTGTCAGACTATAAACAAATAAAATTTATAAAATTCTGAAGGGAGCTTACATCAATATATATAAACAATTCATCAAAGTTTCATGAGAACTGCTGAAAGCATTTTTGAGTTATTGTCTGAAAACTGGAAAATCCCCCTTTTTTTTTTGAATAAAACCCTGAAACTTGGAAACGTAAAATCTAAAATTTATAAAAATCAAAAGGGAGCTCATGTCAATAGATATAAACAATTAACCAAAATTTCTTGCAAGTTGGTGAAAGCATTCTTGAGTTATTGACAGAAAACTGGAAAATCCCCCTTTTTTTAATGAATAAAACCCCATAACTCAGAAACGTAAAATCTAAAATTTATAAAAAACGAAATGGAGCTCACGTAACTAGATATAAACAATTCACCAAAGTTTTATGCAAAATCGTTAAAGTGTTTTTGAGTTAATGCCCGACAAGTTGACGACCGATGGACGGACGGACGGACAACGGTATACCATATTACGTCCCGTAAACGGGCGTATAAAATAGGAAATATTTTATTTACTTGTTTAAAATTAATCATTGCATGTATTACTGAATCTATAACCTACATACTTGACCATTATTTCAATCTGAGGAATTGCGGGGTATAGATCTGAAAACATTTTTTTTGTGATGACCTGTCAAAATGTTCAAATGTGATTGTCAATCAGAATATTTCAAGTCCTTTTCTTACCTTTTCTGGGTTGATTTTGTCATACAATCTTAGAACAAGCATGACCCTCTGTGTAATAGCATCAAAGGTCATTGGAACAGCTGCACCATATGATCTTGTTAGGTTTAAAATTGGTGTCTGGAAATATAGAGAATTATGTATATAATATCATACCTTGTCTGCTGTTATTTTGTCATAAGCTTTCAACACTTTCATGACACGTTCTGTAATCTCTTCTGGCTGCAGCGATTTTGCTTTTCCATAAAACCGCACTCCAGAGGTCAAAATTGTAGGTGAAATCTGAAGCAGAAAATATTGATTATCTTGTACTTAATATGTAAGAGGGTCTGGATGGGGGACTCCATTTCTGTTTTCTTTCATTTTATAGACCATTTTTCTCTATTCAGTATTTGTTACTGTAATTTTGTATTTGGTCAATCATTCTCTATACTTTATTTTCTGTAGCCAATTTTTCTCTTTATTCTCAAATTTTTGCCAATTATTTTCTATCCTGTATACACCATCAAGACCCATTGGTTATCTTATGTTGTAAGAATGTGGTGTGTCAGACAGGGCAAGATCACATCCTCCAAATTTTTTCTTATACATATGTACATGATGTACATATAATATTTTTTGGTTCTGAAAAGAGATACCAGAGAGAAAGCTTATACAACATGAAAAAGGGCTGAAACTTAATTGACAGGAAAAAAGCAATATGAATGACCTGAAGACCATATATTTTTTACAGTAGGACTGAATATATATAGTTTTATATACTGGGTTGCTATCAACATGATATCAATGTCAAATTTGTAATGGATTGTCTAACAAGATGACACAATCTACTAACAAAACATTTCCAAATCTCTGTCTCTTCAATTTTACCGTTTAATTTTTTTTTCAAATTGTAAGTGCTGTTTTCCTTCAAAAACTTTTAAATATTAGTATGCCGAAACTTTAAAATGTTTTTTTTTCTCTGATTTAACCATGAAGACAAATTTTCAGCTGATATGTTAGATTTTGCTGAGGTAATAAATTATATACTTAAATAAAACTGCATGCTGCAACTTTAAGAGTGTTTTGTTGCTGATGTAACCAGACAGATAATTTGCTGATGTAATCAAGTACAAAGGTTTTGCTGATGTAATCACTTTTGCACTTTTAGTATATCTTAGCTGAAAATGATAATCGGTATCACTACAAAGAAATATTTATATACATCTTATAAGAACAAAAAGTAAATATTTATATATAAATGTATATGAGAAAATATCTTCAGCACCAATTTGACCTTTTATAGAGCACCTGAAGGATTATTGAGTTGTCCATCTTTCTTTTCAGGAATCTTGCCTTTTGAGTACGGCAAGTTTTCTTCTTTTTTGGTTCTCATGAGCAAAAATAGGCATGTCAACACTACACGTACATGTAAAAGTTAGTATGATAAAAAGCATTACCCAATATCTAAACCTTTAACAACACCATTGGCAAATAAATGTATACATGTACCTAAACAGTGTTGGTAAACTATGCTTAAGACATACATTTATTATGTATACTTGGACAACCATGATTGACCACAAAGAAATTGTAAAAATAAGTCTGAAATGAGTGAATACCAGATGTAGTTTTGTATTTCTTTTTCTTGAACATGTTGAATATTAATTTAATAAATCAATAACTTTTGTTCACATCCTATGAATTAAAAGATAACTGAACCATATAAATAAGGTATGTGTTAAGGGTTTCCTGACCAACACTAATTTTTTATTAAAACCTTTCGCCAACATATCAATTCTAGAAACATCCTGAATATTTTTAATTTTGTCCGTAATTTTTAACGAGTAAAAATTAATACTGACGTTCCATTGTCATCGGTTGTTAAACTATGTACACAGCAGGGATCTGCATAGATGAAAATTTGACAATAGAAGAACTCTCACAGTACAAAACCCTGCATGTGGTAATCCAAATTATTCAATCCTCCACTTAGATGTAAGGAATAGTGGATAATGAATTACTGTACCAGGATTGGAACCAGGAACCCCTGGCACAGTAAGCCACTGCTTTACCAACTTAGTCCGAGATTACTCTGACGTCCAACGGCTGTTTTGCCAGACAAGCTGGGGCCGTGGGACGTCAGAGTTCGTCCCATATCATAAAGTGGATATTTGCCTGTCCAAAATGGATGCATCGCTTCGTTGCTTCTGAAGCCGACTGATGGCCTTGGATCCAAATAAATAGGGCCTCAGTTTGTTCATTTTTCATTTATCTCTTCATTTATGCAAGTTTCACCTACCTGCCACCTTTTATTTTCTCATATTTGGACAGTTTTCACAGTGACCCATCAATTCCTGCATTAACTTTTATTTTCAAATGGATGTCAAGTTACGAGAGACTTCGCGGCCTCGAGACTGAAGTATGCAAATTTTTATGCTAATTTCCGCAATAAACTTTTAGTAGCAACCATGATAACAATCGGAATATCCTCGGCCATTCAGCTTATTTGCATCGTAAATGAACGAAGTGTTAGATTATGTATTCATATTGACCCAGGGTCAATTGCATAAATCAGCTCCCATAATGCATTGAGGTTTACTTTTTCTTGTTGTCACATGACAATTTTTCAAAATGAAAGTTAAAATACAGGAATGGATGGGTCACTGTGAAAACTGTTCAAATATCAAATATGAGAAAATAAAGGGTGGCAGATACATGTAGGTGAAACTTGCATAAATGAAGAGATAAATGAAAAATGAACAAACTGAGGCCCGATTTATATGGACCCAAGGCCGTCAGTCTTCTCCAGAAGCAACGAAGCGGCTCATCCATTTTGGACGGGCAAATATCCACTTTTTGATATTGGACGAGCTCTGACGTCCCCAGCTTGCATGGCTTGTCTGGCAAAACAGCCGTTGGACATCAGAGTAATCTTGGGCTATACCAACTGAGCTACAGGAGTACCCCACTAGCTCAAGTAATGTATGGCGGTTATAAATCTATAACATAGAGGTGAGGGGAAGCACTGCTACACTTTCTTCATTGTTCTTTTGAAGAATCTGATATTGTATTTGAACTTTGTGAATGATATGTGCTTTTGTTGGCATTACCTTAAAGGTTATTTCTAAGCCCAAACAATAAAATTACAAAAAAAAATCATAAATAGCTGAGCTACTCAATAACACATGATTTTTCTGCATCTCCTGATTGTGTGTCCTTCAAAAATGGGAAAGCCGATAACTCAATTATCTACCTTGGATAGAAGTTTGTGGGAATTCAAGCAACATATTTCATTTGTTTGATGTCTATTGTGTACATATGACACTGCACTAAATCTACAAATTGATCGTCTAAGAACTGTTGGGTGAAATTTAAACAGTGCTCGCACGTTCCTCGCAACAGTAGCCATTTTCAGTGACCTTCACCTTATGTAAATACAAAACCATAGATGGTGCACACTTGTATAATTTCCGGAAAAGAGGTAGTTAATAACCGCAGTAGATTGAACGTTAACAACGTACAATAACGCAAATAAAATAAACTGATTAAGATAAATATTGTTAACAATACTGGAATAAAATTTTATTCCAGTATTGTGTTTTTGTTTTTTTTTAAATACTACAATACTGGAATAAAATTTTATTCCAGTATTGTGGTTTTTTTTTTCAAAAATACTACAATACTGGAATATCAGTGTATACCAGTATTGTTAGAAGCAATGATATGTGATTTCCAATTTCCAATGGTGGAAGGAGAAGCAGCACTGTATATAAAGAGAGAACCTGTTCTACATATGAAAATATGGTTCCTCTACAAAGGGGGTTTAAAGATAAGTTAGATTAGATTAGATTAGATTAGATTAGATTAGATTAGATTAGATTAGATTATATGTTCTATCAGAAGTCCATTACTAGAGTAATGGACTTCTGGTTCTATATATTGATATATTGAAGGAATTTCTTTGTTTGGACTGCCTTTCATATTAATTAGTTAATAACAAACCTTTTCTTATTGGTAACAAAAATACAATTAATCATTATTGTATTGGACTAACTTTTCGGTGAATAGTACTCACTTTTAATGATCACTTTCAGGAAGTCAGGTGTTTTAATACCCTAGATTTTTGTGTAAACTTATTTTTTTTCAACAGTTGAAAAGTCGATCAACTAATGGATTTGTTTTAATGAACATCTCGTCGTTTTTTTATTTTTTCAAAAACTCTCCCACCCATTTCTCTTTAAATTTGCATTTCATTTGTAACTCGTAGTACTTTTATTTTGTAAGGAAAGCAGAGCATAGCAGAGCAGAGCAAAGCAGAGCAAAGCAGAGCAGAGCAGAGCAAAGCAGAGCAAAGCAGAGCAAAGCAAAGCAAAGCAAAGCAGAGCAAAGCAGGACAAAGCAGAGTAAAGCAGAGCAAAGCAGAACAATACAATAAGGGTGCAAAACAATGCAATGCAATACATATAAATGCAATATTATTTATTTTATTTGGTTCTTCGATCATATGAGGCAAGCCCTTATTTTACCTGATGTTTACAATTTGTTCTTTCTGTGTGCTGTTACACCACTTTCCCAGGTAAGGGGAGGGTTGAGCGTTCGCAAAAATGTTTGACCCGCCATTTACTGTATGTGCCTGTCACCATTTAAGTCAGGAGCCTGTAATTCAGTGGTTGTCGTTTGTTGCTGTGTATCATATTTGTTTTTCGTTTATTGTTTTTTACATACATCAGTCCGTTAGTTTTCTCATTTGAATTGCTTTACATTTGTCATGTCGGGACCTTTTATAGCTTGTTATGCGGTATGGGTTTTGTTCATTGTTGAAGGTCGTACGGTACAACCTATAGTTGCTTACTTTTACGTCATTTGATCTTTGGTTGAGATTTGTCTCATTGGCAACCATACCACGTCTTCTGATTTTTATACAAGGTATGGGTATGATCATTGTTGAAAGCTGTACGGTGCATATTGCTGCTTACATTCCCGACATTTGGTCTTTGGTGGATAGCTGGCAGTCATCCTTATTTTGTTTAATACAAAACCATACAGAGGATAACATGCAGAGAGAAAGAGAATACTATTTAGTATTCGTCGACAAAAGTAATGGGACCCTGGCGGAGAGTTGTCTCATTTGCAATTGTATATACCCGATGACATCTCCTTATTTTTATATAGTATAAAACAATTTTAATTTTAGCACACATTTTGTTATCTTCCTTTGCACAGCAGGTATTGTATATGTAACATTATTTATATAAAATGGTGTGCCAGATATACCAGCCCTATGTATAATACTGATATTTCATCAATTTAATAATAATTGAAAAAAGTAATATATATGTTTACTAGATAATTGGACAAAAAATATTACAATAATCAAAGTATAAATATCACCACCCTCTATTACAACTTCCAAGCAAGGACCGAAGCTCATAAACTCGGCAGAGCCGACAACCTTGCTTCGGAAGTTGCCTCTATTAGGCACAAGACGGATGAGAAGAATTTGGGAAAGTGTACACTACCCGAGGACTTGCTACAACGCCAATATTAAAAGGCTGCAGTACTGACTTTTAAAAAAATTGCCTCAAGTCACAAAGTAGCTTTCAAGCAAACTATACAGTTCTAAACTGATCTGATTAAAGGCGTTGAACATTTTCCTTATAAATGAGACGTCAGACTGCAAGGTGGCCCGCCATCGATTTTGATTTTTCACAACTTATGATAAAAAAAATATGAGCTTTTGTATACAGATATAATATAGTTTTCCCAGCTTATGTTTTTTAACATAAAATCAAGAGATACACATAATTAAAAGATGTAATTTTCATACTCAATCTCATTCCTTTTTTTCTGATTTTTTTTCTGAATTTATTGATTATTTAATAACATGTGCCACATGTGGAGCAGGATCTGCTTACCCTTCCGGAGCGCCTGAGATCACATTAAGTTTTGTTAAAAAGGGGTTCGTGTTGCTTTTGCTTTAGTTTAAGGTGCCGTTCTTTGTTCTTTTTTTAAATTTCAATGTCTGTGTTGTTTATGATGGTAACATTGTCGTCTATCCTTTGTAATGAAATTTTTACATTCGGTCAAGTTTTAGGGTTAGAACATTTACTTGACCAATGGTATATGAATTTGGTGATGTCTTAAGGTTAGATAAGAGTCAATTACCATTCCACTATTGTGTGATGCCTATAATCACTTGATATGCCTTATCAACGTATTTTACAGGAGTAACACAGCAAGTGTCTCATGTGGAGCAGGATCTGATTACTTTTCCGGAGCACCTGGATCACCCCGCCGTTCTTGGTGGGTTTCATGTTGCTCAGTCTGTTAATTGGTTTTCTATGTTTTGTTATGTATACTGTTGTTTGTGTTTTGACCTTTTTTTTTTAGTTTTTTGCCATGTCATTGTCAGTTTGTTTTCGATTAATAAGTTTGAATGTCCCTTTGGTATCTTTCGCCTCTCTTTAACATACATTATTAGAAACATAGTCTGAAAGTTTATTATCGCTTATAGTTTTTTCTTCATCATGAACTTCCAATCCTATTATAAACACTATGTTAACACGCGATCACAACACTGGTGCAATGCCAGCTTGTTACATGTTACTGTCCCAAATCATGAATCAATAGTTTCTTGGGTTATATAGCTTGGTGGTTTCGTCATAAAAGGAATTAATAGATGATGATGGCAGATCTATGATAGACTCTGATATAATTTTAAAAACTTTTCTATTGACGCAATGCGATTAAGACTATTACATATTGTATAGAGACTTGTCTGGTGTTGAAGTCCGAATGATGACCCGACGATGTATTTTGGTGTTTTTGTTGTTGGGTAACTGTCTCATTGACGAATACCGCAGATTTTTTATGAATCATTATACAAAAAGAGAGGAATAAGCGTTTTCTTAAACAAAAAAGTGTTTAATCGAATTATCTATATCCGAAATTAACTATAAAGACAACTACTGAATTGTGAAGTGGAATTAAAAAATGTCAACTTGGTATTGAGACATTTTAACAACAGATGTCACACTCAGTCTTTCAGCATGGAAACTATATTGTACTCTCTACATTCTATCTATTGTAATTACCATAACCACCCTTGAGACATATATTGTCTGACAACTAGCAAAACACATTAGTTAATTTAAAGACGCAGAAGTGGTACAAGAAATCAACTTGAAAATAGTTAATTAGATGAATTAGAAACCTGATAGAGAGGTTGAATAAAACTGAGAATGGAAAAGGGGAAATGCGTCAAAGAGACAACAACCCGACAAAGAGCAGAAAACAGCCTAAGGCCACCAATGGGTCTTCAACACAGCAAGATAGCTGGCCCCTAAACAATAATGTATACTAGATCATCTAAAATGGCCGTCACACTAAACTCCGAAACATATAAATGAACCAAAATTTAAAAAAAACAACATACAAAACTAACACAGGCCAGAGGATCCTGGCTTGGGACAGGCGCAAAAATGCGGCGGGGTTAAACATGTCTTGTGAGCACTATAATGTACGATGTTTTCCTGATTCACTTAATGGCCATTTTAATACAGGCTTTTGTAGACAAATTTACTACAAATGAAAAACAAATAAGTTTTATTGCAATTCCAAAATAATGAGCTGCACACTATATAGACAGTTTGTAATATAATACATAATATAATAACATTAAAAGACAACACAAGATACATAAAGAAGTCACATGACCATCACATACATATAGGAATTCGTTATTTAGATATATTTCACAATTCTGAAAAAGAACCATGTTATTTCATAGCATGGTCGAAATTCAGTTTCACCGGTATTATTTTCTCATCCAGTTTTCCAGTAGACCATTCTTACTTGCCAATGCTTGTTAATGTTGAATAAACTGTCAAAAAGATCATAGGGAGAGGAAAAACGTTTGTTGCAATACAATTGCATTTGAAATTTGGACGTTAAGAAAATCTAAAAGCCAAAATTGATTTTTTGTAAAATTAAAAATGTTTGGCGGAAAAATAAGGAGAGCTAAACATTCTGCTCCATCCTGCTTTGATAATATCCCACTCAACTGCTTCGCCACTTTGTCTGTTTTCATAAATTCTAATATCATATCATAGAAATCTATATTCAGTCTTCACATTTGCAATCTCAATTTACGATTTTGTAGACAATCTTTATGATCCTCTCTGACAAATAAATTAGATATTGGTCTGCTGAATCCTGGATTTAGGGGTACAATTGGGTTTAGAAGAGTAATTACACCACAGGTTTAGAACTCTTCCATGTCTGTTGAAATGCTGGGCGACTTTTCAGTCTTTCTAAGTAGGACAGTAATTCTGGGTACTTCTGTATTAGAATCCCATCTTTCATTTCTGATGCCCACCACATATTATAACCCAATACACAGTCTGCAACTGAAAATCTAAAAATAAGAACAATAACAATATCGACCTGTTCTTGGGAATATGTAATAAGGCATAAAAGAGCAATGCAATATATGTTTGCGCGATGTAAACCAAAGACTTTAAAATCGATATTTGCTCCTCCCCCTCGCTAAGAATCCGACTTTTAAATTGTTTTAACTAAGAATTGAATGCTTCTTTCTGTAAATTTATTGGGGTGTAAAAGCGTTGACCGAAGTACATTTTGTATTAAGCGCGGAAGCGATTCATTCTAAAAATGTGCGCACGGTCAACGCTTGTACAACCCTATAAAATTAGTAAAAGAAGCATTCAATACTTATAATTACATTTTTTTTTTGCTAGGATCATGAAAACACGATTTCTATTAAGTTATTCTTTTGTTTACCTGTGCACTTTATTGTGGAAGCTCGTGTCATCATGAATGTTACATTTAGTGTTGAAATGAAGATTAATCTCAATATAACGCAAGATTGCTGTTAGCGAATCAAAATAACGTATTATAATGAAACATATATGTAATGTAATTATATTCTTATACATGACGTTTGTATGTTAAATATGCAAACGTGTCTTTTAACCAGTTTCTAACAATGTTCAAAGACCTATTTGCCTATTTAACTATCCCGAGTTCAAAATTAAGAATATATCTGTGTTGTATCTTTGTAATAAAAACAGGTGTATTTGTTCTCAGATTGGAAAAAAAGATGACACAAGAATAATATTGTCAGATTGTTAACGTTGCTCAGGTTGATGACTGATTGAAATAATTTTATCCTGAGATATTCCTACACTGGCCATTCAATTCAGATTGATTGAAATTGTTGTATCCTATGACATTTCTACAATGGTCATTCAATTTAGGCCGATTGAAATGTTTGTATTCTTAGACATTCCTCCAATGGTCATTCAATTTAGACCGATTGAAATGATTTTACCCTAAGATATTTCTACAATGGTCATTCAATTCAAGCCATTTGAAATTATTTTACCCTAAGACATTCAAGCAATGGTCATTTATTCAGACCGATTGAAATGCTTGTGTCCTAAGATATTCCTACAATGGCCATCAATTCAGGCCGATTAAAATGTGTTTGCTTTAAGATATTCTGATAATGGTTATTCAGTTAAGAACGATTGAAATGTTTGTATCCTAAGATATTCCTACAATGGTCATCAATTCAGGCCGATTGAAATGATTTTATCCTAACATAATCTTATAATGGTCATTCAATTTAGACAAATTGAAATGTGTTTACATAATAGAAAAAAAAATGTTTCATATGCATCCCTGCTTTAACAGTGACAGATCAATTTATATAAACTTACTTGTCCCCACAGATATAATCCTTTCCACGCAGACGTGTAACTAGATATTTAGCACAGGCATTAAATTTTTGTGTTGCATGTTCAATTTCATTTTTGTCCTCAGTTCCATTTGCCTCTTTGAAGAAAAATTGAACAAACAATTTTTCTTGCACCTCATCCAATGTAGCACACACATAAAACATAATACTGAAAAAGAACGTTATATACTCGTTCATCAAAACCATAAGCTAGATTGACCAACTATGCAAAATGTTTTAAAAGAAATATCTGATAATCTCGATAACTTTTCTTATTAAGAGAATAGACCTAGGTTAAGATACTTTACTCTTGAGAATCACCCATACGTTTTGTTTTAAAACATTTTCTTAAATGTATTCTAAGCTTCAATGTAATACAGATTATCGTAATTCTGTTTTACATGAATTTTTAACAGTATTTATGACAGCAAATATTACAATATAAAATTGAGAATGGAAATGGGGAATGTGTCAAAGAGACAACAACCCGACCATAGAACAGACAACAACAGAAGGTCACCAACAGGTCTTCAATGCAGCGAGAAATTCCCGCAGCCGGAGGCGTCCTTCAGCTGGCCCCTAAACAAATATATATACTAGTTCAGTGATAATGAACGCCATACTAAACATGCTTTTTATATAAAGAGTTATCTTCCTTCATCAAATTTAGCCCCTGAAATATCTTTAAACGAACTGAAATAAAATACAGTCACTTAATAATGTTTTAAATATCATATGTGTACAGAATATCCATACAACATTTCATAAAATTGTGATATACAACCCTACTACGTATAATCTGTCCATTACATTTTGTTTTTAAAAGCATGATGTTTGAATCCTTGTAAACAAAATGAGGCGATGTTGTTTTTTGAATTACTGATTTTTTTTTTGTTACAGATTTGATACATTATAATGAATATAATCATATATAATTACAAATAAGGCTCCAACAGCGAAAAAAAAAAATCTTTATAACGAAATTAAATTAAATATTTTTTTTATTGTCTTAAAAGAGTGACCTTAGTATGGTGACATGCACCTGTTCAAATCGCAATTAACATTCCTCAAATATAGCATAAAATAGATACTCTTGGTAGACTTTAAGAGCGGTATGTCCTCAGTGGGGAAAAACGACAACACTAACATAAGGTAGTATTTAATACAAACTTGTATAGGTCTCTTAAGTCTGTTGGCATCAAGCTGTGGTATTTTTCGGCCAAATGCATACAGATAGCTCCAGATTCTAGTAGTGTTAAGTCATCATATTGTAAAGCAGGCACTGTTGTGTGTGGATGAACTGTTTCTGTGTAACTTTTGCTTTCCTTCGAAGTTTTATTCCAAACATCGACATCAATCAGATCATAGTCCTCCAAAGCATTCAATTCTGAAAAAAAAAAAAAAATTTGTTTGTAAATATAAAAAAAGAAGATGTGGTATGATTGGCAATGAGACAACTCTCCACAAGAGACCAAATGAAACAGAAATTAACAACTATAGGTCACCGTACGGCCTTCAACAATGAGCAAAGCCCATACCGCACAGTCAGCTATAAAAGGCCCCGAAATGACAATGTAAAACAATTCAAACGAGAAAGTTAACGGCCTAATTTATGTACAAAAAAATGAACGAAAAACAAATATGTAACACATAAACAAACGACAACCACTGAATTACAGGCTCCTGACTTGGGACAGGCACATACATACAGAATGTGGCGGGGTTGAACATGTTAGCGGGATCCCAACCCTACCCCTAACCTGGGACAGTGGTGTAACAGTACAACATAAGAACGAACTATAAAAATCAGTTGAAAGAGGCTTAACTCATCAGATGGATAAAAATACAAATACTACAAATACAAGTGGACGTGGCCGGGAACTTGTACATCCAAACAACAAAAAGATACTAAGTACAGATCTGAGAGTACTCGCAGTTACTGACAGCTAGTTCAAAGCCACTAACAACTAATAAAAAAAATCATGCTTCCAAGACTAAATTATCAACCCGTACACATCCAACATCCAATGGATTTAGTGTAAAGACGTCATAAACAGTCAGAGAAAAACATGACCTTGTGCAATGCCAAGATACAGGTATCGATAGATTGTAGATCCATGAATGTGTATATGTATAGAACAATAATATTTAGTTTGCTTTTAATTTACTGATAACAAAATCAATATTAGTACCAATAAAAACAATATTTAATGATCTAATTACAGTGTTGAATTGGTAACCTTTTAGAATAAGTTTATTTAAAGGATCGATAAGTTTACCAGGATCGTTTCTAAATTTCCGGGATCGGTACACAATATTACCGTAAAAATGAGGATGTGCAATCCCGTTTGAAATAAGTTTTCTTCAGGTACAACCAAACTTCAAAACCAAATCTTTATATCTGTGGAAGAATTTAGTAAAGGTTTTAAGTAATTTTAGGTAACAAAATCCCTGGCTTAATAATTTACCAGTACTACATAGATTTCATTCGTTAAAATCAAAAACGTCACAACAGACACGGGCATAGCGAACGAGTTGTGAAATATAAACACCGTAAGATGATGCCAAAGGAACATCACCATTCAAAAAGGGAAAATTAACAATAGGGAACGAAAAATCGTCCCTTTTCGTATATAGAGAAAATTCATGAAATTTAACGAAAAAACATCATCAAGATAACGGTTAGTGTTGTTGAATTTATCAATTAAATGCAATTTAGACGGGTCTTCACTGAGTTTGGACATAAACTGTGATTCATAACAGGACAAAAACAAGTCTGCTATTAAAGGGGCGCAATTAGTGCCCATAGGAATATCTACAACCTGTCGATAAACGTTGCTGCCGAAACATCGAAAGCATTTGATTCTGAAAAAAAAAAATATTAAAGGATTTTGTTTAAGGAAGCAAACACAAGAATCCTTTTCGTTTCTTTTTAAACTTTCGGACTTACGAAATTTATAAAAAGTTATTTTCTTTAAAAAATGTAAAAACTTGTCATTTTATCAGAGTAAAGGATATATTAGCAAACATGATATAACAGGAAAAAATAACTATGATACATTTTTTACGAAGACAGATAATTTTTGCTTTTTATTCCCAAAGCTACGTGGCTCATTCTGGAAAAATTAAAATTGATAGATTGTGGGCCACGACAATGAAAAGGTTTCAATCAGACACAAAATCGGGTAATAATCGCAAAACTATATCGTATGTAGCAAATAAACAAAAGAGGGATAGAAAGAACAGTCGTAATAGAATAATGTTTAGGGTTTTAAACGTCAGGATGTTTTTGCTCTCAAAATTGTTTTAGGAAAAAATAGATATAAATTTCGCGTATTCCACCTCTATGTGCCATATTAAATCACTAGAACTATAAATATTGAATTGCTTTGCATGTATCCTACATAAAATAATTAGAAAACACGAATGCATACTATTTAAGTTTTTTAAAATTTCTCTTTGACACTCAACTTTTAAAATTTTAAACATAAAACACACTATGTGTGATCATGTTTAATTTCATTACTCTCTTCTGAGCATTTCTTGGGAATTTGATATTGCAGAAAAGAATATCTTATCGGAACTTTATAGATCAAATAGGAAAACACATACCTCGTAGAAGCCATATACATCTATTAGACCGAAAAACTGAATGAAAATATAATCTTCCTTTCTTTTGAGACATTTTTCCCTTCTTATTTCGCAAAATTGTAAAAGCAGTCAGTGCACTTATGCCACCAAAAAATAAATGTATTCATTTATCTGTTATGTATACGTATGCATTATGTATTTATTTATATATGTATTACATGTCATTGTACTGATAAGCATTATTTGCTTAAAGTGATAAAGGAATTGACTTGATGTGTAACATTATTTATATAAAATGGTGTGGCAGATATACCAGCCCAATGGATAATACTGATATTTCATAGATTTAATAATAATTCAAAAAGTAATATATGTTTACACTAGATAATTAGACAAAAAATATTACAATAATCAAAGTATAAATATCACCACCCTCTATTAGGCACCAAACGGATCAGTGAAGAATCTAGGAAAGTGTACAGTACCCGAGGACTTGCTACAACGCCAATATTAAAAGGCTGCCGAGTACTGACTTTTAAAAAAATTGCCTCAAGTCACAAAGTAACTTTCAAGCAAACTATACAGTTCTAAACTGATCTGATTAAAGGCGTTGAACATTTTCAAAGGTTACAGGTCCTTATAAATGAGACGTCAGACTGAAGGTGGCCCGCCAACGATTTTTATTTTTCTCAACTTATGATAAAAAAATATGAGCTTTTGTATACAGTCAGATATAATATAGTTTTCCCAGCTTATGTTTTTAAACATAAAATCAAGAGATAAACATAATTAAAAGATGTAATTTTCATACTCAATCTCATTCCTTTTTTCTTATGTTTTTTTCTGAATTTATTGATCATTTAATAACATGTACCACATGTGGAGCAGGATCTGCTTATCCTTCCGGACGCGACTTAGATCACATCAAGTTTTGTTAAAAAGTGGTTCGTGTTGCTTTTGCTTTAGTTTAAGGTGCCGTTCTTTGTTCTTTTTTTATTTTTCAATGTCTGTGTTGTTTATGATGGTAACATTGTCGTCTATCTTTGTCATGAAATATTTACATTCGGTCAAGTTTCAGGGTTAGAACATTTACTAGACCGATGGTATATGAATTTGGTGATGTCTTAGGGTTAGATAAGAGTCAATTACCATTCCACTATTGTGTGATGCCTATAATCACTTGATATGCCTTATCAACGTATTTTACAGGAGTAACACAGCGGGTGTCTCATGTGGAGCAGGATCTGATTACTCTTCCGGAGCACCTGGATCACCCCGCCGTTCTTTGTGGGGTTCATGTAGCTCAGTCTGTTAAATTGATTTTCTATGTTTTGTTATGTATACTGTTGTTTGTGTTTTGATTTTTTTTTTAGTTTTTTGCCATGTCATTGTCAGTTTGTTTTCGATTAATAAGTTTGAATGTCCCTTTTGTATCTTTCGCCTCTCTTTAACATACATTATTAGAAACATAGTCTGAAAGTTTATTGTATACCATAAACAGGTCACCTTTCCAACATTTTTAATAGATATAAAACACCAACCCGATCTATTCTTTAACACTTGTTGGATAATGTTTCAAATGTTGGAGAACCATGAACAAACTCATATGAATAAATAAACTTAGTAATACAGTAAGCAGGTGCATAATTGAGAAAATAGGAAGGGTATGTTGGTATTTTCAATAGAAACATTGTGTATGTGCGTGATTAGAACGTCTTTTATTTAAGTGTCACACATCCTTTTTTAATCCATCAAAAATTTTAAACGGTCGAACCTCTTGGGATCTTAGTTTTACCCGTATACTTCTTATTTAGTGACCAATGATTCTTTTTGTATCCGTTTTGCATCCAGATTTAGGGACTTGGTCGATATGATCCCGGAAATTCCCTAACATGTTCTATCAGTGAAGACAACCATTTTTTAACAATAGTTACTTTCCGCGATAGAAGTTTTTCAAATATTTATTTTCATAACTACTTATTGTTTGTTCTTTATCTGGAACTTCCAATCCTATTATAAACACTGATTTAACACGCGATCACAACACTGTAACAATGCCAGCTTGTTACATGTTACTGTCCCAAATCATGAACCTCATCAATAGTTTTCTTGGGTTATATAGCTTAGTGGTTTCGTCATAAAAGGAATTAATAGATGATGATGGTAGATCTATGATAGAATGATATAATTTTAAAAACTTTTGTATTGACGCAATGCGATTAAGACTATTACATATTGTATAGAGACATGTCTGGTGTTGAAGTCCCAAAGATGTCTTTTGGTGTTTTTGTTGTTGGGTAACTGTCTCATTGACAAATACCGCAGATTGTGTATGAATCATTATACAAAAAGAGAAGAATAAGCGTTTTCTTAAACAAAAAAATGTTTAATCGAATTATCTATATCCGAAATTAACTATAAGGACACCTAATGAATTGTGAAGTGGAATTAAAAAATGTCAACTTGGTATTGAGACATTTTAACAACAGATGTCACACTCGGTCTTTCAGCATGAAAACTATATTTTACTTTCTACATTCTATCTATTGTAATTACCATAACAACCTTTGAGACATATATTGTCTGACAACTAGCAAAAACATTAGTTAATTTAAAGACGCAGAAGTGGTACAAGAAATCAACTTGAAAATAGTTAATTAGATGAATTAGAAACCTGATAGAGAGGTTGAATAAAACTGAGAATGGAAACGGGGAAATGCGTCAAAGAGACAACAACCTGACAAAGAGCAGAAAACAGCCTAAGGCCACCAATGGGTCTTCAACACAGCAAGATAGCTGGCCCCTAAACAATAATGTATACTAGTTCATCGAAAATGGCCGTCACACTAAACTCCGAAACATATTAAACCAAAATTTAAAAAAAACATACAAGACTAACACAGGCCAGAGGTTCCTGACTTGGGACAGGCGCAAAAATGCGGTGGGGTTAAACATGTCTTGTGACACTATAATGTACGGTTCCTGGTTCACTTAACGGCCATTTTAATACAGGCTTTTGTTGACAAATTTACTACAAATAAAAAACAAATAAGTTTTATTGCAATTCCAAAATAATGAGCTCACACTATATAGACAGTTTGTAATATAAAACATAATATAATAACATTAAAAGACATCACAAGATACATAAAGAAGTCACATGACCAACACATACACATGGGAATTCGTTATTTAGATATATTTCACAATTCTAAAAAAGAACCATGTTATTTCATAGCATGGTCGAAATTCAGTTTCACCGGTATTATTTTCTCATCCAGTTTTCCAGTAGACCATTCTTACTTGCCAATGCTTGTTAATGTTGAATAAATTGTTAAAAAGATCATAGAGAGAGGAAAAACGTTTGTTGCAATACAATTGCATTTGAAATTTTGACGTTAAGAGAATCTAAAAGCCAAAATTGATTTTTTGTAAAATTAAAAATGTTTTGCGGAAAAACAAGGAGAGCTAAACATTTTGCTCCATCCTGCTTTGATAATATCCCCACTCAACTGCTTCGCCACTTTGTCTGTTTTCATAAATTCTAATATCATATCATAGAAATCTATATTCAGTCTTCTGATATGCAATCTCAATTTACGATTTTGTAAACAATCTCTATGATCCTCTCTGACAAATAAATTAGATATTGGTCTGCTGAATCCTGGATTTAGGGGTACAATTGGGCTTAGAAGAGTAATCACACCACAGGTTTAGAACTCTTCCATGTCTGTTGAAATGCTGGGCGACTTTTCAGTCTTTCTAAGTAGGACAGTAATTCTGGGTACTTCTGTATTAGAATCCCATCTTTCATTTCTGATGCCCACCACATATTATAACCCAATACACAGTCTGCAACTGAAAATCTAAAAAGAAGATCAATAAAACGTATCGACCTGTTCTTGGGAATATGTAATAAGGCATAAAAGAGCAATGCAATATATGTTTGCGCGATGTAAACCAAAGACTTTAAAATCGATATTTGCTCCTCCCCCTTGCTAAGAATCCGACTTTTAAATTGTTTTAACTAAGAATTGAATGCTTCTTTCTGTAAATTTATTGGGGTGTAAATGCGTTGACCGAAGTACATTTTGTATGAAGCGCGGAAGCGCTTTATTCTAAAAATGTGCGCACGGTCAACGCTTTTACAACCCTATAAAATTAGTAAAAGAAGCATTCAATACTTATAATTACATTTGTTTTGCTAGGATCATGAAAACACGATTTCTATTAAGTTTTTCTTTTGTTTCTGTGCACTTTATTGTGGAAGCTCGTGTCATCATGAATGTTACATTTAATGTTGAAATGAAGATTAATCTCAGAATGACGCGAAATTGCTGTTAGCCAATCAAAATAACGTATTATAATGAAACATATATGTATTGTAATTATATTCTTATGACGTTTGTATGTTAAATATGCAAACGTGTCTTTTAACCAGTTTCTAACAATGTTCAAAGACCTATTTACCTTTTTAACTATCCCGAGTTCAAAATTAAGACTATATCTGTGTTGTATCTTTGTAATAAAAACAGGTGTATTTGTTCTCAGATTGAAAAAAAAGATGACACAAGAATAATATTGTCAGATTGTTGCTCAGGTTGATGACTGATTGAAATGATTTTATCCTAAGATATTCCTACACTGGCCATTCAATTCAGATTGATTGAAATTGTTGTATCCTATGATATTTCTACACTGGTCATTCAATTTTGGCCGATTGAAATGTTTGTATTCTAAGATATTCCTCCAATGGTCATTCAATTTAGACCGATTGAAATGATTTTACCCTAAGATATTGCTACAATGGTCATTCAATTCAGGCCATTTGAAATTATTTTACCCTAAGATATATAAGCAATGGTCATTCATTCAGACCGATTGAAATGCTTGTGTCCTAAGATATTCCTACAATGGCCATCAATTCAGGCCGATTAAAATGTTTTTGCTTTAAGATATTCTGATAATGGTTATTCAATTTAGAACGATTGAAATGTTTGTATCCTAAGATATTCCTACAATGGTCATCAATTCAGGCCGATTGAAATGATTTTATCCTAACATAATCTTATAATGGTCATTCAATTTAGACCAATTGAAATGTGTTTACATAACAGAAAAAAAATGTTTCATATGCATCCCTGCTTTAACAGTGACAGATCAATTTATATAAACTTACTTGTCCCCACAGATATAATCCTTTCCACGCAGACGTGTAACTAGATATTTAGCACAGGCATTAAATTTTTGTGTTGCATGTTCAATTTCATTTTTGTCCTCAGTTCCATTTGACGCGTTGAAGAAAAATTGAACAAACAATTTTTCTTGCACATCATCCAATGTCGCACACACATAAAACATAATACTGAAAAAGAACGTTATATATACTCGTTCATCAAAACCATAAGCTAGATTGACCAACTATGCAAAATGTTTTAAAAGAAATATCTGGTAATTTCGATAACTTTTCTTATTAAGAGAGTAGACCTAGGTTAAGATACACTACTCTTGGGAATCACCAATACGTTTTGTTTTAAAACATTTTCTTAAATGTATTCTAAGCTTCAATGTAATACAGATTATCGTAATTCTGTTTTACATGAATTTTATGACAGCGAATATTACAAGCATGCTTTTTACATAAAGAGTTATCTTCCTTGACCAAATTTAGCCCCTAAAAGATCTTTAAACGAACTGAAATAAAATACGTTCACTTAATAATGTTTTAAATATTATATTATAAACGACAACACTAACATAAGGTAGTATTTAATACAAACTTGTATAGGTCTCTTAAGTCTGTTGGCATCAAGCTGTGGTATTTTTCGGCCAAATGCATACAGATAGCTCCAGATTCTAGTAGTGTTAAGTCATCATATTGTAAAGCAGGCACTGTTGTGTGTGGATGAACTGTTTCTGTGTAACTTTTGCTTTCCTTCGAAGTTTTATCCCAAACATCGACATCAATCAGATCATAGTCCTCCAAAGCATTCAATTCTGAAAAAAAAATAATAATTTTGTTTGTAAGAAATAAGAAAAAAACAAGACTCATTTAATTCTCATTTTCAATTTTCAGATCCAAGTCATCGAAAGCATTTGATTCGGAAAAAAAAATATTAAAGGATTTTGATTAAGGAAGCAAACGCAAGAATCCTTTTCGTTTCTTTTTAAACTTTCGGACTAACGAAATTTATAAAAAGTTATTTTCTTTTAAAAATGTAAAAACTTGTCATTTTATCAGAGTAAAGGATATATTAGCAAACATGATATAACAGGAAAAATAACTATGATACATTTTTTACGAAGACAAATAATATTTGCTTTTTATTCCCAAAGCTACGTGGCTCATTCTGGAAAAATTAAAAATGAAAGATTGTGGGCCACGACAACGAAAAGGTTTCAATCAGACACCAAATCGGGTAATAATCGCAAAACTATATCGTATGTAGCAAATAAAAAAAAGAGGGACAGAAAGAACGCTCGTAATAGAATGATATTTAGGGTTTTAAACGTCAGGATGTTTTTGCTCTCAACTCTCAAAATTGTTTTAGGGAAAAATAGATATAAATTTCGCGTATTCCACCTCTATGTGTCGTATTAAATCACTAGAACTATAAATATTGAATTGCTTTACATGTATCCTACATAAAATAATTAGAACACACGAATTCATACTATTTAAGTTTTTTTTAAATTTCTCTTTGACACTAAAATTCTAAAATTTTAAACATAAAAAACACTATGTATGATCATGTATAATTTCTTTACTCTCTTTTGAACATTTCTAGGGAATTTGATATTGCTGAAAAATTATTTTATCGGAACGTTATAGAACAAATAGGAAAAC